AACGGTTACAGGCTTACAACAATAGCAAAAATTTGGCAGTCGTCGCGAAGTCAAATGTGCAATCGATTCCACCTTCGCTTCTTGCTTCATTTGTTTCCAAAAATGTTGTCGCTGCTCTGCCGAATGAAATGATGGTGAGAGACGTCATGGCCAAGTAGGGGCACTTTTGCGATTTTTGGTATGGCTTGTTCCTCGTCATTATGTGTTCAGCGTACTCGTACTCACTTATATTCTCAAGATTTCTGAGGCACTCCAATATAATATAGAAGAACGAAATAAATTATTGGCAATGTACCTGAACTCCCAGAGGAATACCATTTTTGTCGAGGCCCATGGGACACTGCACTACGGGAAGTGCGAGCGCGTTGAATAAGGCGGTGTAGGCGGTGTTCAGGACCGCGAACAAAGGCTCACGGTGAAATGGGGCAGGTTTCGGCCACCTGAAGGCGAACTGGTTGAAAACGGTATGAAATAAAAAGTAAATAAAATAATAGATAAAATAATAAAAATTCTTTATTAGAAATTATGTCATTTCTCAAAATCGCAACATTTTTTTATCTGTTTTTGGTGTAGATTATTCGATGATAGCTGGTCTTGAAAAAATGTGATCTTTTCTTATGGTTCCAGGAGAATCTAGGATTAGATTATGACTATTAATCCTGCCAACCACTTACCACAACCCTTAACCACTGCTATTTCAGACATTTTTATAAGGGATTTACGAAATGAAAGACTATGAGGAACTCGCGAGGGGAAGAAAAGGAGTCCGTCATCCTTCAGCGTTTCGACAATCTGACGCTTCAGTCGATCACGTATTCGAAGGTACTGCAAGTCAATTCATGAATTTTACTAGGAGTTCGATAGATTACAAAATGACAAAAAATTGCAACAAAAACCTTCTCATTGGATTCCTCGCTACTTTTCTTGAGTGATTCCATGAATGTGATCAAAAGGACAGCCGCTGTGTGATGAGATTGACCTGTGAGCACTTTTGGTAGCTCTTTCCAGACATTTAAACGACCACCGTCGCCCTAGTGAAGCTTCTTTGCAGATGAACTTCATGGGGGAACTAGTGAATAGAAGAGGTCTTACCTCAAAACTGAGCGCCTTTCTAGACAGTTCTATGTTTCCTTCTGTACTTGCTGAATAGAATTCAGGGTGATATGCTGTAAACGGCAGATCGAGCCCTACTCCCTCTAGATCGAATGTGCTCTCGAAATGGGACACTGCCTAGAACAGAGGCGATATAAACACTTGCGAGTGTTTTCTTTGGAATTCAAGAAAATGCTCACTTTCAACAGTGTCTCTTTCATGGCATCACCTAAGGGTTCCACCAGAGGGTGTTGAATTCCGAACATATAGAAAATGCGACATTTTCTGAAGTCTACCGGCTCGTTCATATGTAGTTCTTCAAATTTGTCACCGGCCATGATCTAAACAGGCTTTCATTCCATTTTGAAGTCAACAGTATTTCCGAAGGTTGAGCGTTAGTAAGTGGAGCCCTGCCGCATGCATGGTCTGAGGATTTGCATGCACGGTGCATGGTGCTGCATGGTCATAGGATTTTATCCACGAATAACCTCGCCTGGACAGCCAAGCTTCAGCCATAACCCTAGAGTTGGTCATTTGGTACCAGACGCCGCGATGAACACGGCAATCTTTGCACCAGCAACC